TTTTAAAAATTCGAAAGTCAGTTGTAACTCAAGTCACGTAATTTCTCAGTTTGAAAATTTAAAGCCATGTGATTGGTTCGTTTACTATGTACGAACGGCAGAAACGAAGCCAGCAAAATCTTTAACATTTTCAAATATACGTCATTTATTTGTCTTGAACTTTTACATTTCAGGGTCCTTACGAGCTTGTGTACAATAAATATGAAGTCTGTAAAGGTCCTAAGTCAAAAGATACGGGAATCTTACAAGTCAACGTTGAAAAAAATAGCAAAAATGAATATATAGGTCACTTGAATTTGACTATGCAAGAGCAATGCAATCTGATAGAGGTCAGTATGCGGGACTACCGCGGTAGCCTTCTTAGCATCCTTGGCAGAATATATGTGTACCTAGATGTGCATATATCGGTGTACGCAGCTAGAGTTGTAGAAACTGTCAAAGTTCTTTGTTAAAAATATAACTTACGTCAGTTACACAGCGATTAAATTTGCACACTGTAAAAGTGGCTGCGGTATAACTTTGAAATTTGAAATTTGTGTAATATTGAAAATTTCAAACGAATTTATAACTTCCGCCATATTTTAAAATCAACATGAAATTATTGACAACTATTTGCAGATAAAAATAGTTGTCTTCTCATTAAAAAACGACCGGCGGAGTATTCTGTTCAGCTATAGACTGTCTAAGCCATGTGAACATTTCGCTTTCGCTACACCTTTACAACTTTATCTCCACGCTGACAAGAAAAATAACTGCTTCCTTAAAAAGGTACGTAGCTTTATTCAATTCAGTATACAATAAAATAGTGCAACCAAATTTCACACAATTGTTCTACTTATAATTGAAAAAAAAAAATTTTAAAAAATTGGAAAACAGCTGAATTTCGGTCACATCCATTTTACATCCTGTACATATTGTTGAACACTATTTACTGATGAAAATAATATTAATTTTACTTCCACAAATTGGATCGATGTTAAATTTGGCTTACCATGGAAATCCGATGACAATACTATAAACATGGCCACGGTTGATCTGATGCTGCAACCAGGATAGTCAGGAGACTACCCAATTTTTCAACTTACAATAGTACTATCGTATTTGGGTTCATTGCTCATATTTTATTTGCTTTATATTGGTTACGAAAATTGCTTTATAAATGCTTCTTATAGTTCTTATCCAGAGACCATACGTAAATCATAAAAATCTATTGACCATATTTTTTGCATTTATTAACGACTGAACTGAATATAAATTTTAAGACTCATGTCTATTCACTAGTGATAGGTTTTTTACCACGGAATAACTTCTTAGGTCAGTCAAAGTGGTGAAATTACAGGAATATGAGACTTGTCAAACTTGTGTCTCAGGGTGACGAAGGCAGTGGCCGTGCCCCTCAGAACTTTTTGATTTAAACCACTGAGTGGTACTGTAATTGTTATGGACAGACGTGTCAATTACCACCAGGTGCCCTACTTGCTCGTCCCGTCACTTGGTCTTATAAAAAAACCGTGACCATGGAACGTGTAATCGTAAGCAACCCGTGACCATGGAGCGTGTACCCGTGCTGAAAAAAAAGCCATACATTGGTAACAAACCTACAACTAGTGATAATCATTGGACTGAACTAAACATACACATTGACGAAGTTTTTTTTTCAGGAATCATTCGCTTTTACCTTGAACTTCACAGAGTACGTGAAGCTATTCCTTGGAAAATCATTTTTCTACGGACACTATTTATTCAAAGTAATCGTGTTATCGCCAAAGGGAAACATCATGTGTCTAATGTTAGACAATAATTTTAACAAAGTTACGTAAAATAATAAACATTTGTCATTGACTGTAATCCTTTTTAAGCAACGGGATATTCATAGAAACCTGTTTTGATTGCAAACACACGTTTGTACACCACGGAAAAATAAAAACAATGGAAGTGCCTTAAGCCTCGATAACTATCGGAACCGCTGTCGCCAAAACATGCACAAACATAAACATAAACACAAACATAAACACCATGAAATCTTGATAATGATTGGTCGTAGTTTCAAATTTAAAAAAAGATGTAACAAATTCTAGATTGTTAGTATAATTTAAACTTTACCCAGTAGCTATATCGTTGAAATTTGAATACCTTTATTGCAAGTTACGACGTTTTGATATTTATATTGAAATTTTATACAACGTGCTGCCGTCTTGCGAGCAGTAGCTAGACTACGACGAACGATTAACATATGAACAAATAGAAAGTAGTATCTTCTCTACAACAGATGTCTTCTTTAAGGTAATGCGTACACACGTGCGTAATGAATTTTATTACGCTTGATTAGGTTTAAAAATAATGATTTTATATTTGAATGCTATTGTCATGCACAAAAATAATTAAATATTTTTTTTATAAATATTCGCCGTTCAAATTAGCCGCTGTTAGAAGCGCTGCAACCGCGCGGCGGCGGCAGCGATTAACTCTGCCCAAATGGCAGAAATCTGCCACAAATGGTCACACTGTTCTCAATCTTAAAGTGACATTGACATTGGCAAGAGGTCTCTTGTCAAAACGTTCCTTTGCAAACATTCGTATCTCTCATTTAAATATTATCAAAACATTTTTCGCAAATTGTATTTTATTTTTTACTTTATATCATTACTGTTTAATTGATTATTTGATTAGGTATTTTATAGCCTTAATGTTTTATGTGTGTACTATAAAATAACCAATACTATAGGTAAGTAACCATTCAATCATGCTTAAAATGAAACATATATACAGGAACGTTACCTAATCTATGGTCGAACTGAATCAATTGCGTGGTTTACTTGCATATATTCTAAAATACATTATCTTGCAATTTCATTATTCCCGACTTCTAAAAATATACAAAAATATATTAATAACTAGGCATAAACTAAAACGTAAAATTATACTAACAAAGCCCAAGAACGGAACTTCGTTGATTTTGGGTTTTTTTTATCCAGTCAATTGGAATAACTGGCAGAACTGCTATCCCATATTTACATTCTCTATACTTGCTTCAATTCACTTTTCATCCATCGTGGTTAATTTGCAAAGTTAATATGTACACCTCGCCAACCGTAACTGCAACCGAACTGCCGCCACTCGGCCGCTGCGCGGTTGCAGTGCTTTTAGAAATTGTATTAAAAGTGACAGTCGCGCGGCCACCGCGCGGCTGCAGCGCTGCAGCAGCGCGTGTCTAACTGCGGCTAATTTGAACGCACCCTAAGTCTCATTTAAAATAAATAGTAGAAAAAGAATTTTATGTGGGCTATAGACGCGCCACTGCAGCGCCTCTGCAAGAATTTAATCTGAAGGTGCCAACACGAATTCGACGAAACGATAGCACCCTATAGCGGTTAATAAAGCACCATCACGCGAGATGATTACTATTATCTAACCAACTGTTGGTTTGGAACGCCTGATTATTACAAGTCGGGCGTTCAGCGGTCACCACATAAATTATACTGAAAATAGGAAACAAAAACCACCGACAATACCACCAGGGCAGTAAGGCAATGAACACAAAATCCACATTTTCCACTAGAAAATACACCTCACATTATTCACTCTAGGAAAGGCAATAAATGACCATTTACCTAACAAAGTGCACTCAAAGTGGAATAGTAAATCATTTGTATTGCTTTAATTCGATGCACCTGCGTCCCGCTAGTATTTAGTACTATGGTGATTCTTTTAGCTAGGGACAGGCAAATATCATCGGTGTTTTGTAGAAAGCGTGTAAGCGACATTTCGCAGATTTTTCGAGGAACATGTCTCAGTGGTAAAAGGTTTCAAGGACTGTTTGAAAATATTAACTTCCTATTTTAAAATTCAATTTTAGTTTTAAGTAACTTTAAGTTACGAACCTTCTTCGACGTGAAGGGTTCATCACGATAATTTCCGTTATTGAAAAGCTCATGGAAATTTTAAATTAAAGTTCGCACATAAATTCGGACTCGATTTACAGAAAATAATATAAAACAAATAATAAAAAAAATAAAAAGGATTCAATTATTATGTTATTAAGGTACCAAAAATACTAGTTATGCATTGTGGTAGCCCGCACTCCATACAAATTAGAGCTTAGGCATCACAAGCGAGGTTCATACTTGTAAGCAGCCGACGCTGCACAATGCGCTAAAGTGCATAACAACTCCAAGAATAGATAAGGCCTTAGCTTTAGAAATTATATTTTGTAATTCATTATTAAATATCCAGCCTCCAAATCGGTCGGATGTCCTACATAATTTTAGTTTTATTTTTTTTTAATGTTCAATCGCTCCCGAAAACTTGACTGGCGCAGCCGGTAGGATTACCATGGTGGCTGTCGTCTCACGCCCGCGTAAACTCAAAAAGTGATTTTTATCCAAAAGTAGTTTCTTGGCCGTAAAAACTGTTTCGTGAGTATCAAACTCTACACACGAACTATGAACGTATGGTGAACGGACTGAGCAGTGCAGCTAAGCTCAATTATTATGTTATTAAGGTACCAAAAAAAATACACAACAAATACAATAATCTCAGTACACAGTTTGTAATTACTGTTTGTAATTAGGCAGTACTATTGTGAGTAGATAAACCCAAATAATAGATTTGACTACTGTGCAATTTTCTTCTTTAAGACGAAGACGTTACGTCGTATTTTGCAATTATTTATTACTTGGATTGAAGACTTCACAATCTGTAAACGTGTTCTGACAATTAGATTTCGTCGTGACATTTCCTTGTATCATTTTAAAGCGTGTAATAATTTATTATTGTTAAATACATCGAACAAACACAAAGGAAAATTTCTTCGATGCGACTGTACCGAACCGATCCGGGTCTGTTACCTGGCTACAAAATATATGAATATCATGATAGTAAAAAAACATCATAATATTCAACAAAAACAAAATCTTATCGTGTCTATGACATACACTATGATAAAAATAAAATATCGTCTAATAATTTGTTATAATGAACATCATCGTCATCATCAAAAGATGTCCGCCGCTGGACCTCCCCCAAAGATCGATCATGTGCTGCTTGCATCGAGCGTATTCCCCAAACCTTTACCAGGTCTTCGTCATGCGTCTTCCGGTATGCAGTCACCACTCGAGAACTCTTCGGCCCCATCGGTCATCTGTTCTGCGAGTAATGTATCCCGCCCACAGGCACTTAAGTATTGCAATTCCTTAGGCTATAATTAGTATATTGAGTATCGTCTCCGCAGCGCCATCAGTCTATGCGATTTTCGAAAAGAAAATTTAATTACAACGCCATCTAGTAGCTGTACACTATAATAGTTGAAAACGTCAAGAAGTAAGCTTGGGTAAGTTCGATACAGAGACAGCTAGAAGGGGGAGAAGTGTGAGCACACCACTTGGTGAAGGTGATCATTAGGCAGGCTAGAACGGGCGCCGCTTTTAGTGATGAATGAGTTGAAGTTTCTCCAACTCAACTCCAACGGAAAAAGGCCCTCGGCCGAGGGCCAGCGCTATCGGCACCGCGGAAGAGTGCCAAAGCATTCCCGTAGTCCCGGCGCACTTACGGAACATCGTTGGGTTTTAGTCGGTAGGAGTCCGACATAATCCCTCTGTTGCCCGCACCAACGAAATATTTCCCCACGCATAAAAAAGTTCCCGCGTTTTCGATTAAAATCCATTTTAGATTCGTCTTTTGTACTGTCGAACTCATTACTTATAATTTAAATTAATTATAATTATTTCACCGCCGGCTCAACGAATTGATAACGAAAAATAAATGGGTCAATTAATCATGTAATTCCTGACAGATCAGTGACAAAGGTGTTTTCCTTAACGTCTCCCTTATGGCCATACTCCGACCAGTATATAAAAATTAAAAAATAACGTAAGATCATACTTACTTACATGCACCAAATTAATATACATATATCAAGTACGTAATAAGCGAATATGACTTAAAATCATATTCACAGCCGCGAAGTTAGGGAGCGTCCCCATTATATCGTGACGTCAGAGTCGTGCAGTTTAAACTGTCATGGCTTGTATATTTAAATGAAGTTGTTCACACATAAAGCAACAGGATTAACTGTCATTCACGTCTTTTTTGACGTTACGACAAACTGTAGTGACAATGGGAAGATCTAGAACGATAGTCGTCTGGCAATAAATAAAACGTCACGATAATCTCAGCTTCAAACGTGTCTGTCGTGCAAATGACAAGGCGGCTGCCGTGAACCGATGAATTGTCGTCACAATTTAGTGGGAACAGCTAGACACGACAGTCGTTCAACGATTAAATAAACGTCCCCGACTGTCACGACAGATAGTCGGAATATGGAAACAGGCTAGACGCGACAGTCGTTCAACGATTTTATTTATCGTTTACAACATAATGTGAACGCGTCCTTACTCATTTACAAAGACGCTTATCACTGTACAGATTATATTTAGCTTCAGACCGCATGGCTAAACATTACATCATACACTGTTATAATTAACTGAAACCTGCTGCGTCGCAAAACACAACTTTCGGCCTAACATTAACCACATGGCGGGTGGTAAAGAAGAGAAATGAAGGTTGCAAAGAGTTAAACATTATAGAAATGACATACGTAATGTCTAACGAAACAGAATCATTTCAATTTTCATAAATTTTTCTACATCATATTTACAGTGTAGAACCATTTCCAGCAGTGGGTGCTAGTGAAATTACATGACACTTTTTAACTTATATCTTAACAACTACAACAACTACATGGATTTTTTTAATGAAATCAAGTGACGATACGAACAAGGCTGGTAGTAAGCCAGATGCCTAAACATGACAATTGGCAGTGCCACGTGGCGCTTTAAATCGCAAAGATCTACTTGGCACTGCTATATCGCCCGTCACCCTTCCATGTGCCTGTAATATGACAAGCACCCTTATCCTTCGAAACCGGAACGCAGGAATGCTCACATTACTGCTAGACGGGAGAACTAGGTAAGATTACGAACTCGTTCACAAGGAGCTCTACTGCTTTCTACACTAATATATAATTATAATATATACAATACAGACTATAAACATCAAACTAACTTGAGGGCATTTCAAGTAAAAATTGGGAGTTGTCGAGTAAAAATTAGGAATTCAATTCAGGGTCTATAGCGCAGTGTTCAAAATGCTTAAACTGAAATTGCCACCAAGAAACATCCCAAGTCTTTTGTTGAATTCCTCTTTGACAACGATGAAAATCACTGAAATATGAGCTCCCACTGAACGCAATAAACGTACAGTATTACACATTAAATGTATTTACAATTACAATGGCGTAAGTTATATTCCTATAACTTTATTGTTTTCTGAAATTTCCCGGAAATAATTTTATTCGAACATTTTTTACAATAGACACCCGACTCGAATCACAAAAAATCAGTTGTCCTTTGCATTTTGGTCGACTATTACTAGATATGAATGAGCAAAATGTAAAAGTGGGTTGTAGTAATGGATAGTATCAAATAAATGGCACCAATGAATTTATACGTATATATAAGTAAATAAAGATATGCCGGTTGTGTTGCTCAAGTATAAGCGTTATCTTAGCTATGTTAATTTTTGTTTCAGATTCTCATCAAGACTCAGTAGTGGGAATTTTACCTTTCTACCACATTTATGGATTAGTCATAGTATTACTGCACAAGTTGTCGGTTGGTTGCAAAGTAGTAACTTTGCCAAAATTTCAACCAAACACTTTCTTGAATACGCTGCAAAATCACAAAGTTTCTTTGTTGTACGCTGCTCCACCTATTGGTATGGCAGTTTCCATTAATATTTTTCATATTTTTTATTTTAAATAATTTACTATTAACGGACAGTCTAGCAAAACTAAAGTCTAACCAACCTTGATTTTTTTATTATTTTTCTTTCACATTTCTTATTTCATATTATAATTTATGACTACACTTACGGTAAAACCGATTTGAGACAACCGTTTTGGTAACATATAACAAGCATCTCGATTAAATAACAGTGCAAAATATTTACGAACTCCATCAGGAAGAGGATACAGTCACTGTACCTCTAAGAGGAATTCTCTTTTCTTTTAGTTTTATTTCTGGTATCTCATCCAGAAGTAAGGGCGGAACATTTAGCACCACTTGAAAAGATCATGAGCGGAGCCGCACCCTTGCCTAATCAAGATATTGTCAATATTTTACATAAAAAGGTATTGTAAATGTATTCGCATATTTCTGTTATCTTTTATCAATATTACCTACAAAATAATCCACTACACATTGTGCAATCACGCTTACCTTAAACGCAAAATTATTATTGAGCAAAACTGTACATTCAACAATATGATTGCTATATAAGAACGATTCAAACTATAAGATCCAGACTTTGTAACTGAGCATAATCTAAATTATTACGTAACTAGTGCGTAATTAAATATGAAACTACTTTTTCGGATCTAAAACGCGTTTGTTTTTTCAAACAAACAAGCCGATTTCAATTAAGATTGACAAACTCCAGGCCCTTGCAAAAGAAATCCGTTTTCTACCTAAGATACTTCAAGAGATCATCGAATTTGAAAAACATCCTAATTTCATCAGGGTACCATTCATTAACATGTTTTATTTTATTTCTAATTCCCATTTAATTAATAAATTTAATTTACTAATAAATATATTAAAATAAAATATTTGCAAATTGTATGTAGCATAAATTGGAATGTTCTTTGATAAATTAAAAATAAGGTTTATAAATGAATAACTTTTGTTGAAAATAGTTTAGCAGGTTTGCATTAATATTATACATAACTTGTTGGTGACTTTACCATCTCAGTCAAAAATGATCATGGAACCTGTTAAAATCCCGAATCGTTAGTTACATTTAAAATAACAAATATAATTAAATACATGATTTAAATCCGAAAAAATTGCTTAATTTCCAATGCGTGCCAATCGCGACAACTTTTCTACGTATATTTATCAAAAAAATTAAATTATTACACCTTTATAAATGTTAAATTAAAATATAGACCAAGATCTACTAACGTTTTGTCATAAAAAGTTTCATAATGAAAAACCTTGTCTAAAATTTTAGCCTTCATTGTGCGTGATCAAATTATATGGCCTAACAGAAACGGGACCACTGGCAACAACAATGCGTCCTGGCACCACAAATTACACTACTTCAGGCCTTGCTGTACCCAACACTGAGCTGAAGATTGTTGATTCTGATTACAAGACTTTAGGACCAAATGAGGTAAAAGATGTAACAGCTTTATGAATGGAATTAAAACATAATTTACGGCAGAGAATGAATGAGATGGAGAAACATTAAATGTGCAAATAATTTTAAGGCATTAGTGGACTTTCTAGGCCATTTGTACCAATAATAACAATTTAACTCGTATAGACATAACTAACACTTCTCATCAATGATCTCGTTAATATCCATAAAAGTCGAGAAGCAATATAAAATTAAGCTATTTTAGGCAAATAAAGTATTAAGTCTGATTTTACTATTTTCAGGTAGGCGAACTTCTCATAAGAGGCCCTCAAATAATGAAAGGGTACAGAAACAACCTTGAAGCTACTAAAAATAGTATAACTGAAGATGGATGGTTCAAGTCGGGGGATTTAGGATTTCTCGATGAAGGTGGCTCAGTTACTATTTCTGACAGACTTAAGGAACTTATTAAGGTATGTTAATTTTATGATTTTGGAAGTTATTTTAATAAATATAATTAAAAATAAATAAAATTGAGAAAAAAGAATATTGCTTGCTAAACCAAAATATGTCAAAAATTATGTCAATAGAAAAAGTCTTCAGTGTAAAATTCTGTTTTCGTAAAATAGATTCACAAGACATGAAGACGTAGATTTTTTAAATGTTAATAAGAAATCGGAATGTCAACGTCGGAGTAACAAGTTACTCATAATATATTGATTCCTTTACATCGACGACTCAACATTTAGTATGAGACAGCTGAATTTTTTTTTTCCCAGAAGGATACCTATCACAAGCTAGAAACATGATTTACAGAATTTTGTTTCTCCGAAAACCTTTAGATTTTTATGGAATAGATTTTGTTTCATTTGTCCGCCTCTAAGGGTGGCTGTTCACGCATGAAGATTCATTTTTATAAATAGCGCCTAAATTTTAGTATAACGAGCAATTATTTTTATAATTGATTTTGCTATTCTTTAAATCAAGGCGTTTTTCTCTCTCAAGATACTTTGGGTAGTGAGGATCGATTTTTATTATCTCCTGTGTCTAGTTCCGCATAGTGGCGAACTAGGGGATGAATCCGGGTTTGCACAATTTCCGATAACCAATTTCAATAAAACTTGGCAAATAGATGTAATTCCACGTACTTTTGAGGTCGGTTTTTTTAGTACTCTGTACTGAGATTATTTATATCTCTGACAGCCCGCTATCTCTTATCTATATCCTAAAGTGCCGGCTATCGAGTTATTCTATAATTTATAAATATGCACTCCTTGTAAAAAAAAATGTCCACACAATCAAAAACAAAAACAATATGGCAGGCAGGAGTTACATTAAATATAAAAATTTAAACCGCTTTTTATAAGGCTTAACGTGAGCTATAAAGCTTAATGGTTGGCTAATGTGTACGTTATTCATATAAAATACACAAATATTCAATGATACCAGTTGTTAAAACAAATACGGCTCTGGCAGTCGCCGGCCGCTGCCGCGACACACTCGCTTCGCTCGATCGGCTCGTGCGGGTTTTTCATATACTAACCTAACCTAAAGCCACACCATAACATTGTGTTATATACCATGTATATACAGACATGGGTAAGACGAAAATTACGTAAGTGGACTTGCTGTGCACCTGCAAAGTACAGTCCAGAATTTTGGAGCTGTACGGTAAAATTGCATAGTGGTACAATTTTACCTTGTATGGCGCTACAATGTTATCTACGAATTTTCAGCCATCTAAATTATATGGAAAACAAACAGTATAACAAACATGATTAGACCAAACAAACTTCTGCCCAAAAAATACGTATGTGTAATAATTATTCTAATAATAGGTTTTCAGACAAACGATACTTCTGCTGAAAGACATTGTGTTGCAAATTTATACCAAAACTGTCATCGCACTAATGAAAAAAAGTTGAACCGTTTTCGGAGTAATGAAATTCTGAAAAAAGAAATTCGAGTATGTGATAGGGATATTTTTCATTTTAGCTATTGTAAGATAAGATAAACACAAATTGCAAAAAATAACAAAACATATTATTACAGGTAAAAGGCTTTCAAGTACCACCGGCAGAATTAGAAAGTGTACTTAAAGAGCATCCTAGCGTTCTAGATGCGGGTGTCGTTGGTATACCAGATCCTAAAACTGGTGAAGCACCAAAAGCCTTCGTGGTTTTAAGACAGGGGCATAAAATTAGTGATGAAGAGTTGAAGAAATATGTGGCCGGTAGAGTAGCTGAGTTTAAAAGAATTAAAAACATTGTATTTCTGGACAGTTTGCCGAAAAATCCTTCGGGGAAACTGCTGAGACGAATTTTGAGGGAACAGTTTTGTTAAAAATTACAAAACATCTTATTCATAGATTACACATTAGAATTGAAACTATTTTTTCTGATCTAAATCGTGTATGTTATTTTTCAAACAAACCAACTTGTCGTGGGTCCACATTTATGACATTTCGACTCACCGAGACTCCGTGATAGGCTTAGAGAATAGGAAGTGAAATGTCACGGATACTTGTTACGTAAATGTGGACGGGCTGTGACAATGTAACATTTCAACGCACCGAGACTCCGTGACGTCTCACGATACTTGCTACGCTACATTTAGCGTTATCACATTTTACAGTGGATTTAACGTTAACTTTCTGTCTGCTTTGACATTATGCAGGTTGCATACATTTATTTTTCACCCACTCCGCGGCGAATGAGTATCGACTGGATGCTGGATGGAGTCGATCCGTACTGTGGCAGTAAATTGTGGCGTGTTTGTCACGTGTGGCAAAGACAAAAGTGTGGCCGGTTGATATAACCAAACAAGAACAGAAAATCCTTTGAAAAAAACCGGTTTCGAAGCATGACAGTACAAAATCACACTTGCTACAATGTTACGCAGCCAAATATACGTGCCGTCTCAAAGGCCCGAGGTCGTGGATCGCTGTGGAATATTTGATCGTGTCGCGTACAAAAACTGTCCACACCTTGTGTTTTTGTCACGCGTACGTGTTACAGGAACAATGTCCGATGCGTTGAAATGTTACAAATATGGACCACCTTTACAATTCCCACGGTCATGTTGGAAACGTTGATTTGTTTGAAAAAACGAATGTACACGATAAAGATCAGAAAAAGTAGTTTCATTTTCTATACATACACAACATTTTATCTCTTGTACTTTTACACATGTAATTTGATGGATAAGATTTAATTAGCTTGTACGATCATAATAATTATACTGTAATAGTAAAAACAAGTACAAAATAAAGAGATACAAGATTATCCAAAATGTACTGTTAAGTTAAACGAAACACGTTGTTATCATAAATCAAGTGTGTCTGTATAAACCTCGATACGAACATTTCGAACTTAGAACTGTAGAACGTGATCTATCTTTTGTAGATTTATCAATTTCGTAACGGGAGTTGCAGTAATATTATTTCATATAATTATAAAACTCACAGCTTCAATACCTTAATCTACTAAAATCATTCATTGCCTAAGTAAAAGACGTACAGAATATTTTTCAATTTCGTAAAATGCAGCGCATAGAACTGCAGCTACAATCTGCTGAAAGTATTTTTATTATGTTGTGAAATATTTTTACTATACAAGTGAAATAGGTAAATAGGAAATTTTTAAAAGGATACATTCATGGACAACCCTTTTGTTTGGTTTGGTATAAGGAGCACTGAATGTGATTGAAAGGAACATAGTGCATCACATCGCAATATTCCACGATATGGCGATGACATTGAAATTGTGGCAGATTCTAGTAATCTGACATCGCTTCACTGTTTGATGACCTTAGTAGCTCAACGGTTTGGACTGTAGGCACTGCATGAGGAGGTGCCGGATTCGACTCCCACCAAATTGGTCAGTTTGAGAAATGAACTTTTCTAAATTGGTTTCGGTGTTCTGGGTAGTACGCCGGAGTGAATTCTATTTGCTCTGATACGCATAGTACAGGGAATTCCCTAATTTGAGACAATTGGTTTGGTTGGTTGTCAAGCTGTCACATGTCGCCCGTACGAATCTTTTGCGCTGCAAAAAATAGGTGAAAAATGGTTTGGAAGTTTTCAACAAATATCACTTCGTATCCTTCACTAACAATAAGGTTCTCATTTTACATCGAATTGTTCACGTTAACTACAGGAATATGGAACGTGGTGGCATATAAACCAAGTCTCGAGTTCCTGGAAGCATCTTTAGCGCAGATTGCGAAACTTCACTACTTAAAGACATACGTGACTAAGATGCGTACAGAGCTAATGAGTTGATGGCCATGAACCTACAATTGTGAAGTAGGTAATATCAGTGCATGGTAAAATAAACTTTAGGACGAACTTCCTGGTAGTCACAGATTACTGCTTGTGCCAAACACGGGTACTAGGCAAATGGCTTGGAATGGAGGCAAAAAGCTCGTGTAAAGCTATGCACACGGTGTAATTTTTACGTACAGGTAATGCGCCGTATAAAGATGATTTATTTAATGAACTTGAAAATCTTAACCCGACTGATCGTAAGTCTGTGACTTAGCAAATTATGTTGTTATAGTTGAAGATATATTATTTGCACCGATGAATGTTATCTCTTGGAAGGGCTCATAATTTCAATTACACTAGGATAATAAAACCATTAACACTTCTTTTATTTAAAGCGTACACGGATTTAACGATGTTGGTCCATCGTACCAGTCATGGGTGCGGCAAATGCTTTTTCTGAATTATTTATTTATTTATTTGATCTTTATTGTACAGTATGCTGAAGTGCAAATGGCGGACTTAATGCCCTAAGGCATTCTCTACCAGTCAATCATTGGGCCAAAAAGAAAAAAACACAATACGTTGCTGCTACGCTTAAACCAGAAGAACAATATACTTGAAAGCTAATTGTCCACGACTGTGGATGACGCGACAATATCTGTAATTCCGACACGAATCCCTAGCACGTGCCGCTATGCCGCTTTCACCAACCCGTGCCTATACGCAGGACACCTATTATTCACAAAGTTATTCACGAAAAACTGTAACATCGAAAGTAAAAATTCTCTAATTCTAGATTTCTATATATTGCCGTCCCTTTCTAATATTTTTACTATCCTTTTCTAATTATTTTAGAACTTACCATCACACGATGTTCGTTTACATTTTGCGGACTCTGATTAGTCGATTAATATATATATATATAGCCTTATATTCCAAATTATGTAAGAAAGAGCGGGCAATAGTTTTCTCGCTTGTTTCATTGATAAACTTTATACTAAGTGAGATAGCACGATTTGATACACTCTTATTCTATGAGAGTCTTTTGCTCATTTCACTTTGAACACTCCACATGCACTAGACACTTCACTTGACAGGTTACGTCGCGAACACTAATCGTTAATTTGTAATAAATAAACTTACATACATTTGTAAGTCAATGTACATAGTATAATAATAAATAATATATGTACCCAAAATCAACATTATACAGAGTCTTGATTTTGACAATTGTCAAACTGATGCTCAAACTTGCGCAACGTGCGCTTGAAAGATAATTTGGTCGAGTTTGTCTTACATTGAGCGAGAGCGCGTTCCAAAGACAGATTGCATGAAGGGTGAAAGAATTAATGTGGACAAAAAAAGACGGAAAAATTGTGGTGAGAAGGAATAGAGAAGATCGACATTCGCATCCTGGTCGAGCGGTTTGAAATTAAAATGAACATCTAAGATAATTAAGTGCAGCCGAGTCGAACAAGATGGAGAAATTCTATACAGACTCATTTCCTACTAATTCAACTAGTTATTTACGCATAAAGATTGTCAAGTTTATAATTAAGTGCCAATATGTAAAAATACCGAGTCGGTCATTGACTTACAAATAAATGGACGACGGGTCTAATACAAAAACCACGAAAAAAAGGTCCCAAGTCAACCTATTTAAACGTAGTGACATGTAAAGGAATATGAAAAAGCTAAAACGTTGAATTTAAATTGTAATAATTAAATTTTTATTGAATTGATATTCAATTATTTTTTGTGAAATTACTCCACTAGTTTGTTATAATAATTATTAATACAAAGATCGAACACTCAGAAAAAATTCCTTCAATCCGGTCGGATTCGAACCGACGTCTTCTTGCATACCGTGCCAGACGCTATACCAACTAAACCACGGAACGAACCAACGGACCTCACGAATTTTTCTATGTGCTTCCGCCGTGTCTTTGTACTTGGTCTTTCAACGACTTTTTAGTCATAGCGCCATCTATGAGAAATCTATGACAGATTTATCACCCAGTTAGTACCTTTACAGCTACCAGTCCTGGCGAGAGATGTCGCCATGGATGTCGGAGAGAGTGAACCGACTTTATTAACTTACAATTATATGGACGTCGGGTCCGCGCTAAAAAGTGTCCGAACTTATAGGGCGTTAAAATCGCATACAGAGCGTCATTCACGCTTTAGTCTTCGTTTGTTCGACTGACAGCGAAGCAAGCAAAATTAGACAGTACTGCGATGACATTACAATTTAAATTCAACGTTTTAGCTTTTTCATATTCCTTTACATGTCACTACGTTTAAATAGGTTGACTTGGGACATTTTTTTCGTGGTTTTTGTATTAGACCCGTCGTTCATTTATTTGTAAGTCAATGAGGTTAAAGCTTAATTTTCATAAGCGTGCCTATAGAAGTAGATTGTTGTGTTTGCATCGATTTAAAAGTAATAACTGCGTGAGACGCGCTCAACATCGCCTTGCAAGGCTACGTAAAGGCGCGGGAAAGGGGCGCGTGCTTACGCTACTACGCCACTCCGCCACCTACTGACGTCTCGTTTTTTTAGGTATGGGATAGATACTTCAACAGTATTGTATTACAAGATTAATAAATCATTTAAATTATTAAGACTATCTCAGGACAGTGAATTCAAGTTCACTAAACGAGTTCCGTTTACACTGTCTATAATTTTGAAAAAAACCACTTCCCGGTGATCAGATAGGCGGATTTTTGTGGCGGTGCGCAATCTTATTAGTGGCTGGATAGCTCGCGCCGTTATGACAATATATTGGCAAGCCTAGGCGAAGAACCCCCGATTAACTGCCTCTGTGGCCGAACGGTCCCAGGTTCGATTCCCGAGGCGGGAGATATACTTGTATGGTCTACATTTATTTCTCTCATGAGTTTGGGCGTAATTTGTGGTTGTCTATGTGTGTCCGTGGCACCCGCGGTACATGTTGAGTGTGTGCCCTCTTATTGGGAATTTTACACTGATCACTTTATTTAATTTGGATTTACTAACAGGTAAATCTGTTACTGCACGTTGCACTTCATGCAGTTAATACGTGAAGTCGTTATCAACATTATGCAGTCAAGGTCTCGGCAAACATGCAGGGAATCTGTTTGCAGTCTTACTGCTTGCTATTTAAATAAGAAATTTGGTTTCCAATTTAGCACAAAAGCTTTTTGTAAATTCAGATTTTTTTTATAATTAACGGAGATGTGTGTCTCGATTACTCTCGATCTCCAGCAGCGGTTAAGCTCGTGACGCTGCAACTGCTTCTTGAATATAAAAACGCCTGACAAAAATGCTAATGCAAACGATCTGTTTCCAGTTTACTTGATGAATTTTAGTTGTTTAAGGAGATTAAGTGTGTTTTTTATTTTGTTTAGTTTTTAGGTTTAAGTACATTAAGCACATAGTAATAGGTTTTATTTGTAAATAGATTATTATTATAAATAAGTTTTTCTTCTAAACAGGTAGATTTATTAATCCTGTAAATTGACGCAACGATAGCTGCGATTACAGCTGTATAGCGCATATGGATACGGCATATTTTATGAGCGCAGATGGCGCACGGTTCCCGAACGCGCGTTACGCGTTGTCTTAAAACGCGTCAACTGCGCGTCATTTGGGCGTTAAAAATACCCCGTGTGCAAAAGCTCTTCGCAATAATGACATTTTTTTACAACATGAAGTGACAGACTAACAAGTCGTTCACCTGATGGTAAGCTACACGCCTGTCCATAACATTTACAGTGCCACTCAGAGCCTTAAATCATTGCGACCGCGCCTGTCACCCTGAGACATAAGTTGACAAGTCCCATGTGCTTGTAACTTCACCAGCACCCTTTCCCTTCAAAACTGTAACGCAGCCCTGGACTGCTTGGCGGCAGAAATAGGTAACGTGGCATTACTTCCCTGGACGAACTCGTTCACAAGTATCTCTACTGCTACCAAAAATCAATCAGAGACTTTAGACAGTACTTGTGCTACTTACCATACCTGCTACAAATTCGGGATCATATCCGTGATAATCTAATTAATTTCACCAGAGATGGTTTCCTCTTGTATGCCTTGAACGCCCATAGACTACATCACGCAAGGTTTTACGTTGACTTTAAATTGTCTTATCACAATTGGCATAAAGTAGA